CTACCCCTCCTTAGTTTTTATGGTCTCTGAGAGCTGCTTCAGGAGCCCCAAATCTAGCTGTTCCCCTTGGTGTGGGGGTCTGTAGCAGACCCCTACCCCCAAATTCCTTTCTCCTTGACCCCCATGTAACCTAACCCACAATCCTTCCACTTTCTTCTCCTTCGATTCCGTCTTGATAAGGGTCGATGTATATTGCTCGTTGACAGAGCTCAAACCCTCCCCCTTTCTTCCCCACCCTGTCCTTTCTGTACAGTTTATAACCCTCAATATGTACTGCCCAGTCGTGGGAAGAATCCCACCAGGTTTCTGTTAGCCCTACTAAGTCGTAGGTGTTTTCTGCAAGCAGGAGCGCTAGTTCATCCTGCTTGCTCCCCATGCTCCTAGCATTAGTGTGTAGGCACTTGAACCTTGTGACTGGCGCCTTTGATGCCCCCCGGCTCTGATGCCCAAAGGGCCCCTTATTGCTTACCTGTGCTGTACTGCTGGCCGCCCCATGGATTGCAGGTTCCCGATGTTCTCCTTCTTCAGGCTGGGCTGTCTTTGGGGTGCCACATGGTTTGGTGGTCCACGGCTTCCCCCGCCCTCATCTTCCCCTCCCCTCGACGAGCCTAGTTTAAAGCCCGCCGGAGGAGATCTGCCAACCTAGAAGAGAACACACGCTTACCTTTGGGGGACAGGTGAAGCCCATCCCAACTGAGTATGTCCCTCGTCATGTTGTGCAGGTCATTGTCAAGGAAGCCGAAGCCGCCAGTTGCTCTCTCTAATGCAGTTCTTGTGTCGTCTTCCACGTCCGCTCACTGGTAGGACAGAAGAGAATACCACCTGTACACCGATCTCCCTCAGCACGCCGCCCAGAGCATGGTAGTCCGTCATCAGGTGATCGGGGCTTCTCCTGGCCGCATCATTAGTACCCACATGGAGAAGGACCATGGGGTAGTAATCGGTGGGCTGAATCCCGGCCTGGATTATTCCCGTCACGTCCCGAATCTTTGCTCCGGGCAGGCAGTAAACCTCTCGTGTTGAGGGGTCCTGGCGACAAATGGGCCCTTCTGTACTTCTCAGGATGGAGTCACCTATGACGATCACTTGACGCCGCCTCCTCTGGGTCCGCTTGGTTCTCTTGACCTGTTTGGAATGTGGAGAATGTGGCGTTGCTTCCTGCCCAGAGGTTTCCTCCTCTCCTTCCATCTCCTGCAGGGTCGCCAGGGCCTCATACCTGTTCTCCAGTCGGACTGGAGGAACTGGTACCAGTTTACTGTGAGCAGCTCCGGTCCTGGATGTGACTGTCTGCCACTCTGCTGTGGAGGGCACTCCCCGGGGTGCTTCTTCCTTGGGTGTCTGGTCCTGCAGGGAAAGGAAATAACTATCAATTTCATCCTCCACCTCCCTGATACCCCTCAGCCTGCTAACCTCCTCCCGGAGCTCCTTCACCTGCGCCTCCAGAGCCCTAAGACGGGCACCTGCTGGACAGGTGTGGGGGCCCCCAATCTCTGCCCCCCGCCCCGGCCCTGCTGGGGATCCCCCACAGGCCAGGAGGCAGGGGGACACCAGCTCCCCCATGGGCTCAGTCTGGGTGGAGGCCTCAGACCAGCCCCGGGTAGGCATGGCCCCCTGGGCAGAGGCCCTAGCAGCACTCCTTGTCGACACCATTGTATAAGCTGCTGTTTGTTAGATCTGTGTGGTGTCTACGCTCTACCCGTACAGGAGTCTCCCTCCTGGCCCTTCCTGCTTGCCTGCCGGCACGAACGCCTGCGCAAACGCTGGCGCGCTCTGTTCGTGCTGTGCGGCTCAGGAGCGCAACTCCCTACCAGCTCAGCTATAAGGGACCCAGGGGGCTTCCCCTCCGGATCCAGCTCAGCTGTGCCGGGTCCCTCCACCCCACTTAACTTCGGGGGATCAGCTGTTGCTGCCCCCGCTGCTGATTCCTCTGCTGCTGCTGCTTCTGCCTCCGGTCAGTAAGTAAGGGGGCACACGTGCATGCGGGACATGAATGACTTGAAGTCTTTTTTGCATTTTACTAAACTTGTGACAACCCTAGCACCTGTTCAGTCCCCAGCACAAATAAGAACAATGTAAAGGCTGCTCATATTTGTGCCAGTGGCCATAAAGGTCAGATTCAGTAGGTCTGGATCAGCCAGGCATGCCCTGTTTTGCACAGCCACAGCTCTTTCAAAGGCATCTTGGCAAGGAGGTAGCAATCTTAGTATGTGGACACGTCCAACTATTTTGGAATATTTTGAGATAACCAAGAAAAATGGTTCAGTCTTGAATATCATTCACATTGATAGTGGAAAAAAAATAATTATATATATATTTTTTTAGAATTTAATGTCATTGTTTTACAACTAACTTGAATTTTTTGTGATTGTATTAGTGTCTAACCTACTGAAGATTAAAGTCTCTTAATTTCTCTAATAAAGGAATGCTTAAAATCTTTGACAATATTTCATTTTGTATTTTGTGACTGGTCAAATACCCAATGCTACTAAGACTTGCTCACCTATTTTCTTTCTTAAATTGCTCTAGTTTAAATAAAACAAAAATGCAACAGATGACATTGAGGACTTTAATTTTCTAAATGGCAAACTGTCAGTATTGCAAAACAGTAGTACAGAGTATATATGCATTAAAAATGATGCACAGATAACTAGTTAATACAATATATTATGCTCTATAAGATCTCTTGTACTTTAAGTTAAATAACACTGTAGAGGTATTGCAGCCTCTAACAGTGAGCACTTCAATCAAAAATGTCCTATATATTTCAGTTACGAGTGATCGTGGTCTTCTGTAAAACTTTTAGAACAAATGAGTGTAGTGTCTTTGATCAGCTTGTGGCATAAACACTAGGCCTGTGCAAAGCGGCAGGTATTCAGTTCTGATTTGGAGGGACAGTAATTCGATTTGGTGATTCGAGTCAGTGTCCCGATACGATTTGGCTGAATCTGATTTAAAGATTTAGCACCGATTTGGTGATTCAGCCATAGACTATAATGGGGTATCACTAAAATACCTATAACTTTGTCATTTGTTTGCAGATTTGGATGAAAACTGCAGGGGTTGTAGCGCCTTCTGAGGGCATGAAGCCTTCCATGTTTCAAAGAGAGAGGTGCAGGGGTTTCTCTGAAAGTGCCCCTCAAACTGTTGAAAGCAAAACTCGTATCACTTGTGTGTGTTAAGGTGTGTAGGTTGTAGCTGTGTTGGTCTAAGGACATGGGTAGATGCAGCTCTTTGAGTCAATCTGATTTATCTTTTATTAGACCAACTGAATGGTTGGCGAAATATATATTAGCAAGCTTTTGGGTTTAAAAACCCTTTTTAAGGCTGAGGAAGCATCAGCAGTTGGGGTGTGTGTATCCTCTTTCTGGATGGAATGAACAGTAAAGAAGCTGGAGGCTAGTATGTATGCAAGAAAGCCAGTCAGTGAAAATGTAAATTGAGGCATCAGGGGGTGAGAGAGGCTGGGGGTGGGAGAGGGATGTAGCAAGTAAAAGTGGGGAGGTATACGGGGAGTCAGATGTCAGGCAGGTTATAGTGTGTCATAAATTCAACGTCTATATTGAATCCATGAGTTTTTGTATCTAGGAGGTTGATGAAGTGAAGTTCATAGGCTCGTCTGTGAAAAGCATTTTGGATGCTGCTGCAGCAAGACGAACACAGTTCACAAAAGGCACAGAAACAGATCACTTCACACACCGCCTTATATGTTGTTTCTCCGTCCCTCCCCCAGAGCACTGTGATTGGAAGGGAACTCAGGGAAAGATCACAGTCACCGGCCAGCTACAGATGTCTATATCAGAGCAATCTCTTCCCCCACCCCACAACTTCCTCCTCCCTTTTCTCAGTTTCTGTATCCTGCAAGCCTGCCTTTCAAATCTCCAAATCTTTTCCGAATTGATTCAGACATTTCTGATTTGATTTGGACCTTTTAATGGGTCTCCCGATTCAGTTCGGATTTGGAGATTCAGCTGTCAAATCTCCAAATCGAATTGGCTACCGAAGCTTCACACAGACCTAATAAATGCTGAAATCTCCAGTTTATATCTGCAAAAATTCAGTCATCTGTCGGTAAGAGTGAGCTGCTCTGCCTGGATTAGAGGAAAAGAAACTTACCATATTTTCTTGCATACCACACATCACCAAACAAGAGGTGCCATCTGGTTTTTTGAGGACAGAATGTAGGAAAAAGTATGTTTGTATTTTTCCCTGAGTCATGGCTGGTTCTGTGACCAAACGTCTAGAAAGTGTAGCATCCTAGGAGACA